TTAGGCCCCTACTCATCACCTAGCTGATCTTCTGACGGGTTCAGATAACCTAATTGCACATCCATATCACTCGCAACGATTATGACATGAATCAGTAACTTTCGAAGTAGAAATGTCCTTGGCAGCCTTAGAATTGCAGTCGATGTGGGGACCTAAGCGGCAATCGCAAACAAACGGCGTCCAGTGACAGTTTGTGAGTCAGCCTTGGTTGGTGCCGTTAAATATGCTGCACACAAACGGGCGCTCACTGGTACGCGATCAACCAACAATGACAGCCTTGTAACTGAGATCGCAATGAGGCTGGACCTTACCGTGGTGCGATGGTTTGCTTGCCTCACAGATCTATTGAGCTATGCACCATCAGAGCCACTAATACCAGATTGGTCAATGGTGAGAGGCCAGACAAACTCAGTCTCCTTGCCTTCCAGGTTGGGGGTTGGAGTGAGGGTGGCTCCTCATTCCTTAAAACGGACTCCTTGTAGTCCACTGCCAAAGCCGCTGCCTTGCGGTAAGGTTTTCGAACCAAAGGCTTTGGTTGAGAACCCTAATCGTTCTCCTACCTAGGCGTGGGCAATCTGACAGTATTCTGCCCACGCAGTACAATGAACCCTTCCTTAAACAAGTTCTTGAAGCTCTGGCCGTCGCAGAAGACAGTAAACGGCGCCCTATCTGCTGCATCGAGCAGGGTGGATAGGGGTATGGATGCTACTGCTCAGGCCTTCCCGTCTTCTTATCCCCCTTTTTGCGCTTCATCGTTATCGTCCCGCTCCAACTTTACTTTTATCTCCCCCACTTTCAATGCTCCAATTCTTGGCCCTCCCCCCACCTTGCTTCAATAATTGCTTGTCTTCTAGTTTCAAATCACGCACAGTCGCAGTGCGTCGCTCCAACCCAGTCGACAAGTCCATGTTCAACCAAGCGGACAACGTCAGTTCATCCGTTTCCCTTTGGAGTCCTCGCGTCTCACTAAGACTGGCATGCCTCAACGTGCGCACTTTGCTACAGATTGGCCAACAGGCAGCACTTGCCCGCACATTAGAGACCCTATCGATCGATATTTGCAGTTTATGCGAAACCCGCCTGCAAGATTCGAGCTCCGTGGTTACCTGCGCTCCCCCACATGCGACACTGGCAGCACATTCTCATTGCGCCTGTCTGGCGATGATGCAGCTTCAAATACCGGTCAAGCCGGCGTCGGCACTGTTTTGAGTCCCCGGGCTGAAGCTGCCCTGATCGATTGAATCCCAGTAAACAGTAGGATGTGCGCCGTTAGATTAGCTGGTTCATTCCATGCTACGAAGTCACGCGGGGACAAACGGTGCCTGTTTGTCATTGCGGCCTACACCCCTACAAACTGTAGCACAGATACGGTGAAAGATGATTTCTATCAGCAACTTCACGAGCGCCTTCGTTACAGAAGAAGCGCGGATACTGTTGTGTTGGCTGGCGATCTAAACGTCCAAGTCGGAATAATGTCCTCTAATGAGCTTCATCTGGGCGGCCAACATGGTGTACGCTCCCGTAATGATAACTGTGAGCGATTGCTACAGCTGTGTGAAAATGCTCGCCTCTTTCTCGTGAGCACTAACTTTCGACACAGCACACGCGGAAGCGTGACTTGGCGGCCACCAGCCTCGGGCCAGCCATGGACGTAAATCGATCATATCGCGATCAGTTACCGCTGGAGAGGCTGTGTCCTAAACTGTCCCTCGATTTGGAGCACGAACGTGGACTCTGACCATACAATTGTCTGCGCCAACCTCCGGGTACGTTTCGGTAGACGTCCGCAACGTCGATGTGAACGGATTGACATCAGCCAGCTTGCGAAGCCAGGTGTTCTGAATGTATCTCAAAGTGCGCTGACTTCTGGGCTGAGTAAGCGCCCACTGAACACCGTTGAAGATCACTGGTCGCATATTCGTCAAGCGTTGCTGTTAGCAGGCAAGTCTACATGCGGCAAATCAAATTGCCAAACTGGACATTGCGTCTCTACACAGTCTCTGGAACTTATGGATGTTAGCCGACGTATTCCGCATGGAAACGAATACAATGAGGCTCGCAAAACTCTCAGGGCAAAACAACGTGCTAGCCTGAAGAAAGACCGCGAAACCTGGTGTTCTCATCGTGCCTCTGAGATGGAAACAGCTGCTACCATTGGCAATCATCATAAGTTATCCTGTCTGATACGGGAAACAGGTAGCAGGAGGCCTGGTGTTAGCGGGACCATACGCGACGAGAGTGGGCAGCCGACCCACAGCCTGTCAAAACGCTTGGAGCGTTGGGCTGAACACTGCAAGGCAATTTATCCAACCTGAGTTATCGCCTTCTTTTTCGGGCATTGAGCGCCCTTCTCCCTGGGCCGTCTCCTTGGATCTGCCCTCCCGCGCAGAAGTCGAACATGAGATCAGGCTGTTGAAATTGTATAAGGCCGCAGGGGCAGATAGAAATCCCCCAGCCCTCTTCAAATTCGGGGACCTGCTCTAATAGATGAATTACACGAGTCGCTTGTGAAACTTTGAGAGCAGGAGACTGTCCCGATAGACTGGAACCGCTCCGTCATTGTCCCGATTTTCAAGGGAAACTCCCGTTTGGAATGCGGCAATCATAGAGGGATCAGTCTGATTTCGATTGCCTCTAAATTGCTTGCCCCTGTCATTCTGCACATACTGACTGGCACTCGTGAAAGCTAGATTTGTGAAGAGCAAGCCGGATTACGTCTAGGTCGGGACTGCATCGACCACATCTTCACCTTGCGTCAATTGCTGGAGCACCGTCACATATATTGGCGGCCCACCGTTGTCATGTTTCTTGACATAAAAGGTGCCTTCGACTCAGTCGATCGACGTGCCCTTTGGGACTGTCTGCTGAGGAAAGGTGTGCCTGATAAATACGCAAACAGTATCAGAGCGCTGTACGCGCATAGTTCGGGCAGAGGGTTTATGGCAAACGGTCGCCACCCTTCAGTATCACCAGCTGTGTGAGACAAGGTTGCCCGCGGTCACCTTTTCTCCAACTTCGCTATTGATTAAGTCGTGGAAACAGCGTTCGCTGGACACGACCTAGAAGGTGTGGAGCTACTTCCTGGTAAGCGACTTCTTGACTTAGAGTATGCGGACGATATTGCCCTAATCTGTGACAGCTTCCAAACATGCCAAACAGCACTGGACCGATTAGCACTGGCTGTCAATCGTTTTGTGCTATGCTTTGCTCCATCGAAATGCAAAGTACTTCTCCAAGATTGGCAGGGACCCAACCCTGCGCTAACGCTTGGTGGTGATCTGCTAGAAGTCGTTCAGGAATTCAAGTACCTGAACAGCTATATTAGCACCGTGGGATCGAAGATGAGGTTACGAACCGTATAGCAAAAGCTCGAGGTGCTTTTGCCAATCTCCGCCACCTGTGGCGGAGACGCGACACTACTCTCGCCCTGAAGAGCAGAGTTTACAACGCAGCCGTTCGTTCAACTCTCCTATATGGCTGTGGAACCTGGTCCATCAGGTCGACAGACATAAAGAGGCTCGTCACATTCGATCATCGCTGCCTTCGCAGCTTAGCTCATGTCTGGTGGGAGCACTGCGTGAGCAATGAGCGTGTTCGGCGTCCTGTAATTGGTGCACGAAGAGCGAGTGAACCGCTCAGCACCATTATATCACGCACCAGGCTCCGATAGCTGGGTCACGTGTTGCCAACACACCGACTCCTGTGTCGTGCATTGTTTGCGCGCCGGGGGTGCGGTTGGAAGAGGAGGAGAGGAGGCCAAGTGATGACTTGGTCGAGAGAAAGGAAAACCCTCACTTCGAAGTTGGCGTAGGTTGGTGCATCCTGACTGCCTGGCTGGGGTCCTAAGGACGGTGAACACGTTTGGTTGGACACACTTGCTGATGTGGTTAGGAGCCGGTCCCAATGGCGTTTGTGTTGTGAGTTCCTTTGTCCATCCCCCTCCTGCTTAGCATCCTCCTCCAATCAGGATCTCACTCGTTAGGCATAATATAACTCTCCTTTTACGGCACGATAGTCAGCTGTTAGCTCTCCGGAACGATGTCCATTCCTTTACTGGGGACTCAGTGGGCGTGCCACTGTTTGTTTTCCTTTTCTTGTCTTTTGTATTGCTGCATAGTAGCTGAGGTGTTTCCCACCTGTAGCTAACGTGTATAATGATGATGATGACGACTGAGATCGATACGCGCCCCAGCTTGATCAGTGATAGCCGCATCATATTCTTCAGATGTGTGTAACCAATAACGAGAGGACAAACCGCGCACAGTTAGTTCAACGACCACGTGAGGGTCATTGATTTTAGTTCCGGACACACAACACACGTTACAACTTAAGTTGTCCAACGTGCGTACATTGGTTTTTTAATCCCCGAACAGGTTTGTCAGAGTGTAGCAAAAATAACGCTAGGTGAACAAGAACCGACGAATCGTATGTTCGTGTTCAGGCTTTTGTGGACTTGTCTGTCTGGTTGACGAGGTGCACACGAATTCAGATCGTGTACTGTGGACGAGATGACTTGTGCCAGTAAGTGTCGTTGACGTGAGCGTCTTGTAAGTACTGGCAAGTGTGGACGCAATACTATCAACAAAATTACTAAGTTCGCAACACCTCTACACCGAGTGAAGTGTTTCGACAACTTGACGATGAAGTGGTTACCGAGAGTAAAAGCAAGACTGCTACATTTACATCTGTCATCACTAACTGCTTGTTCGCATTCTATCGAGGATGACGCTGTTTTATCGCCTCGTTTAAATTTGAGTTTCTACTTCTCAAACCATCAGAAGTTCACTTTATGCGTTATTATGTTACTCGCAATAATCAATCATCCCATTGTACAGCGCGAGTATTCTACTTCAATTAATTGCATCCTCATTATTCGACATGTACATGTATATGCACGTAATTATTCCGCACCAATCTGTTGGGATTTTTCAGGTAGCATTTAAAACCTCCCATACATAATAACATCTTTTAGGCTGTAACTGGTCCTATTTTCTGTTCAGGTTCTCAAGGAAATTTCCAAAATGGAAGATATGATTGTTGAAATAAACAAGGCAATCCAAGACAAAGAAGGTGCACTTCGCTTGGCAGGAACACGGATTGATCTCAGAAAGCAACGCCCAAATATTGAGCTATGCAGAGACGCTGCAGAATATAAGTAAGACAACACTATAGTAGGTTTGTACATCAAGGCGAACGCCATGCCTAGCAACAGTAATGATATGGAATTAATCGAACTCGGAATTGCGTTAGCCCATTGTTCCTGTCTGAAAGGCGTTCGGGTTCGGCGTTTTCTAGTGCGGAGTACGTGCACCAAATGCAGAAGTTGGTATTTTTCCACAGATTGCCGCTACTGATGGATGTCACATCTAAAACAATAACAAAGCACATCTGCTACAATATGAAGTACCAAGTGTGCAGTAGCACGTTGGTTGTTAGACAATCCCTCGAAGAGCAGCAACAAGAACAGCAACAAACCACACTGCCATGCGTCCCGACCGGTATAGTTGTTGAACCGGAACCTCGACTGGTCTTCAGATTGTCTAAAACCAGCAAGTACTCTCATTTTCGCGAGCCTGGCTATCGCATTAGCCGGCCATGATATGTCGTGTCCCACGAGCCTTGCAGTAAGCCGGTATTTGATGTGATATTCCAACTTAAAATATATAGTTTAGTGCAGACCATAGCATTATGGCGGCAATTCGTTTCAGCGGAGCATTTTCATTGGCAAGAATCCAAATATTAATCGGTTCTCGACGGGTCGCTAGTCACAAAATATGTAAATGGTAATTGACCAATTATGACCAGTCAATAAGTGCCAGCGAATAAACAGAGTGCAGGCATGGAAGGTGTCTTTTCTACTTCGTCTTACATTCAGCTGCATTGACAAGGCGACACTGCTGCCTTTAGATTGTTTGAACAGAAAAGACTTAATTTTCACTGGAGGCACAGAGAAAGTTGCTAAAGGCTAATGTAGAAAACCATTGCAATCTACAAACACAGATTCACCTTTTTACTCACAGTCTGGCAACTTGATTAAGTTACGACACCGTTATTGGTTTCACCGAACGATCGCAAATCACTCAAAACTTAGTCACGTCCAACTTATACTACAAATTGTGTACAGCTGGTCGAACGTTTTAAGGAATGGAAACTTTCCCACTGAGCTCCCGGAACTTCAAAGTTGTCTCTATGCCTAGCTGGCATTATCCAAAGAAATCAATAAGTTTTACCTGCTATAGTTCATTATAAGTGTTGATGCGGTTGCAGTTAGTTCAAGTCAAGACCACCTTGCTGTGGGTGTCGGCCATCTCACACTAAAGCAGTCAAGGCCGCTTCATGATAAAATATATTTTTTTACTCCCTTTATCTGGTTGAGCAATACACATTCTGGTAATAGAAACATGCTAGTCTATTCGGAGCAGATCATGTTGTGGTTGCTTCGCGGCTATCCGGCAAGATTGTTGGGTCTCTGCTTTTCCGCTGTATGTCTAGATTGTGACGCGCGATCTGATTGAGGCGACGGTTTTCTTTGAAGTAAACGACAATTCCAGTGGTACGTATCCCTGAGAAACCGAACATTTTAAGGTCACCTTCCTTCTTATTTTCTAAGTGTTTAGGATGTCTTCCTGTTAAATTCTGATTTAGTCCTTGAAAAGTTTATTTATGACTTGTTTTACTTTTTTTACCTCAAGATTACTGCAGGAGGTTGATGAAATCACGCGAGATGTAGACGCGTTACAGCAAAGATTGAAAATGTCCCATGAGTCTCTCAAAGGTTTGTGCAGACGACAATTGGAGCTAGAAGAGGAGATCCAAATCAAAGCCGCCACCCTGTTCATAGATGAGGTTCAATGCAAGGGAATCCGAGAAACTCTCAAGATTGCTGCATTTTGAGTCACACACAGAAAGCAATCAATACCCTGTGATCTGAGAGCTGAAAATCTCTTGAGGGAATGGCAGAAGTAGTCGTTGCTTTCCATTCCAACCGAATTTCACCAACCTCCTATATATTTAGAAGTACAACAAGGAAGTTATCACATGCTTTGTAACCCACCAAATCTTAGCGCTCACCGGCTCCGAGAAGTTATTCAGTTCTGTGGGGTATTTTCTTACTGTGAGTGATACAATGCAGATTAGTCACATGCATGATTAAAAAGAGAGCTTTCCAATATGCGCATTTTCTCTATACGAAAATATACGGGCAAATTGACCTTGGCTCTTCTAGTGTTGCTGTTGCGTGTCGACGAGTTGTATGAAGTAAAATGCGATACGACTGAACGCAGAACAGTAAGCAACTTTTTGTATTTGAAGTACAATAGATATTCTTCGGTGTGCATGGGTCGGGTTTGTCCAAGATGACAGATGACAAGAACGTCAGTCCTATTGATTACAAAGACATTACATGAACCAGAAACATCCTTGCTACTGCTGATTCATAAACGCTACTCCTCGCTACCGATTGTTTATGTGTGTGTGCTATTTGGATAAATGCAATTTTTCTACCTCGTCTCATATCTAGAGTGGTCAAAAATCATTGAAACCCAACCATAAAGCTAAGTTAAGGAAGCTCATTACTTTTTGTCTTGAAATATGTATGGTGTAGAGTTTAATGCTAGCCGCCAATGACAACGGATATGCCATACTAATAGCATAACCATTAACCAGATTGCGACGGGCGAGAAATTCAAATCTATGAGGCCATCTCCGTGTTAAAACTATGCGCAGCTGTCACGCTGCCTCTATAGTCGTATCCACGTATTTTTTGATCAGCTGTATATAAGCACTTTTTCAAACATGACTTCAGTCCTCCTACAGTCATGGGCGGCACAAGTATCTAGGTCAAATTTGCTTAGTGCCCCCATTTCATAGCATTGGAAGATGGCTGCGAGATGTGTCAGCTCGTAGACAAATCTCCTCCGGGTATACTTGCTTTCGTTGAAAGGTTGTTGCGTGCGAAATGCACGGACAGCGAAGTATATCTGCCTGGCTACGCAATGTTCCGAGCTGATCGCTCAAATGGCTGTCACTGAGGTGGTGTAGCTCTTTATGTGAGCTACAATTTAGACATATTGAGGACTAACGTTTTTCAGTCGCTTTGCAAAGCTGTTGAGGTTCTCTCAGCCATGAGCTGCACTCCCTCGGTTAAGTGTATATAGGTCATGTGAATAGACTCGAGGAGATTATTGAGTATGTACGCGCTCATTTAGCGTATAAATAGCTGGTGCTGGCCGACTTCAGTCTACTGGGCAGATCTATCTTATAACTTGGTAATAGATCGTTCGACTCGGACTCGATAGCTTTGACAATGCAGCCACAAATGTAACCATTCCTGGGTCTTCCCACTAGGTATATGAGTAACCGGCAGAAGTCCATATTAAAATTGTTTTCGCTAAGGCACCTGACTTTGTAAGTAACACTTCCTACGGCTCATCTCCTTGTGCTAGTGATCAGGCTTGCTTGCCTTTCCAGTGTGCACTTACTAGAACTTACCAGGTTACTAACAATTGACATCCTAACATATGGGCCGCGAACTTGCAAGCCATAAGAGGCAAGACTTCACCATCTCTTTTTAATATCTCTGAGACGAAGATTGTTTCTGCACCTTAAATCACATTGGTGAAAAAAGAGAATTTTCCGTGGGGAAGAGCCTGCTGAAGAACCGGCCTAGATGCCGGCGAGCGTATCGAGTAGCTCCGTCGACCAGCATGTTGAATAGGTCTCTTGCTTGCCGAACAACCTCCTCGTGGTGCCAGCTGAGTGGTTCGGGCTTTCTCCCGTTCTAGCAAATGCTTCAGCGAAAGTGTTCCAGGACGTGGTGGCTTTTCGCCTGGCAATCGTTCTCCCTATAAAAGGCCAAAATGTCTATTTAACAACACTGCGACTCGGTGGAAAAGACTCGCACTAAATAAAGTCACTGCACCTTGCCCCTCCCTGAGAGGCATTGTACTTCAAGGGTGCGTTGAGCCCCTGGCACTTCACAGACCGAAAGGCTCACGAACCATCTATTTGGTCACCGGTTTCCAACGGGTTACGACGCCCTCACATCGCCCTGCTGCCTCGTAGGTTAGATCTTTGATCAAACGCTCGCAGTGGGGCCCCCTAAAACAACCCACTACTTTGGCCTGGTTAACCGGGTAGTATCACACCCACTGACGAATCATGGACCACAATGCTTACTACTGCTCTTGCTATGACTATCACCTATGTTAACACAACTGCTCAACCTCCACTCCCAGATTACCCCACCTATCGGCCTACACCTATATGTACTCTTATGTCTTCTTCGGTCACCGTCACAAACGACTCATCTCTCCCAACTGATGGAAGTAACAGCCAAACTCCCGGTTTTCAGGGTCCTGCAATCGCAACCGCCTCTCACTCCACAGAAGCTCTAGCTCTTCTTTGACCTAATTCTCAATTCATCCTCGCAGCGTTTAATGTTCGAAGTTTGGTGCACATCGAACAACAAGCATGTCTGGCCCGTACTCGTGAAACGCTTTCGGTAGACATCTGTTTCCTTACAGAGACTAGATTACAAGACTCTAGCGCCGTCATCAGAATGGCCCCTCTGGTAAACCCTGACGACAAATACCACTTGCGCATTTTCGGAGACACAGAAGCTGCCGACTGTGGCCAAGCTGGCTTGGAGTTGCACTGAGTACTAGGGCTGAATCAGCTCTGCTTGACTAGATCCCAGTCAACAGTCGGTTATGTGCAGTCAAACTACGAGGTTCATATAATGTAAGCAGACGTCGAGATGTTAAGCGTGCATTGTTTTTCGTCTCCGCCTACGCCCTACAGACTGCAGCCCGGTTGCAGTCAAGGATAGCTTTTACCAGTAGCTATATGAACTTTTGCTTTCCTCTAAACGGACTGATATAGTCATACTTGCCGGGGACTTTAACGCACGGGTTGGCCGCCTTCCACCCAGCGAGCACCACCTTGGGGGTAGTTTTGGTCTCGGTGGCAGTCGATCAGACAGTGGAGACAGACTGCTTGCTCTTTGCTCTGATCATCGCTTGTTTCTTTCGAGCACTAGTTTTCGACACTCGAGGAGACACTGCTACCTGGCGCCCGCCCTCACAAACGCAAGAGTGATCCCAGCTTGATCACATAGCAATCAGCTACAGATGGCGCGGAAGCGTAACGGACTGCCGATCTTACTGGTCTTACTGGTCACATTATCTATACTCCGATCACGCATTGGTTCGTGATAAGACTTGCATGCGTTTCGGAGGATCACCCAAGCGCGTCCACTACCGACCGGACGTCGCAAATCTATAAAACCCTGCGATTTTAACCAGGTACCAAGCCTCACTGTCAACCTTGTTTGGCTCAGCTATTGATGTTGACCTTGATTCTCAGTGAGCGTAGATCAAAGATGCCTTAGTTTCCGTCAGTATTGACACTTGTGGAGTTGCCCGTCACCCACCGAAACATTGGATTTCCGCCGTCTACTTGTCGCTGATGGACAACCGCCACTTGATCCCATCGGATTGCAGACACAGTGAAGAACGCCAGTACCTTGGCCGAGAGTTGCGCAGGAGTCTGCAAATGGACCGCGAAGCTTGGTGCTGTGAACGTGCTAAGGAGATGGAGATTGCTAGTCTCTCTGGTAATACCAGAAAACTCTTCCATCTCATTCGAGTCACTGGAAGTGTTCAATCTGGTATAAGTGAAACAATATGCGAAGTGGATGGCACCTTAAGCACCAATCTTCAAGGACGGTTGGAACGATGGGCCGAACATTTTGGCTCACAGTTTTGTTGGCCCCTAGCTCCATCTGCTACCTCTGGCGCTCGCACTAGGGCCGAGTGGTCTACTCCCACAGACCCTCCCTCTTCCCAGGAAATCGAGCAGGAACTCCCCCACATGAAGCGTTACAAAGTCCCCGGAGCTACTGGTCTTCTCCAGCTCTATTTAAAGATGGTGGTGCTTCGCTGATTTGAAAACTCACTGCTTTGTTCTCGAAAGTTTGGCCGAAAGATGAGGTTCCATTATCTTGAAGTGAATCGATAATCGTTCCCATCTTCAAAAGGAGTCTGCGCGCCATCTACAACTACTGAGGAATATGTTTAGTCCCCGTCGTTTGCAGGCTGCTGGTGTCCATCTTGCTTCGCAGGCAACCCCAAACGCACGAATCGTTGCAGCAAGAAAAACCAGCTGGGTTTCGCGCTGGTCGCGGCTGCATCGATCAAATCTTCACACTCCGCCAGATCCTCGAGCTCTACCATGTGTACAAGTGGCCAACAATTGTTGTGTTCCTGGATATTAGTGCAGCCTTCGATTCTGTCGATCGTACAGTACTGTGGCACTGCCTACTGAGGAATGACGTCCCCTAGAAGTTCATCTCCATACTGCGCGCTCTATATAGTCTGACCTTGAGCAGGGTTAGGGCTTATGGCAAGCTTTCTCCTTCCTTTGGGGTCTCCAGTAAAGTTCGACAAGGATGCCCTATCTCCTGTTCCTATACAACTTTGCCATTGAGGATGTCGTGAAGAACGCTCTGGGCGATTCGTTGGACGCTGGCCTTGAGCTACTTCCAGGTAGTCGAGTTGTTGATTTGCATTATGCTGATGATATCGTCTTGCTGGGCGACGATCCACACGTCGTCTAACTTGCACTAAACCGCTTGGTGTTTGAAGCATCAAAGTACGGTATGTAATTTTCGCCATCCAAATGCAAGGCTCTCTTCCAAGACTGGCAGGTGCCTGTGCTTGCACTCACTCTTGGTGGTGAGACACTAGAGGTAGTGGAGAGCTTTGTCTACTTGGGAAGTTGCATCAGTGCTGGCGGGGCTGTTGTGGACGAGTTTTCGATGAGCATCTCGAGAGCGAGCCTCGCTTTTTCTAGACTGAGGCATTTGTGGCATAACCACGACATTCGTCTCTCCA